TATCTCATGATTAACAACTAACTGCAGCAATTTCAATACCGACAGTTGTGATTCAAGAACTATTAGCTGGTAATAAGTGAATAAAACGTCTCAGCGTCTGGAAACAAGAAGTCACCTTCATGGTCTGTAACGGTCTTTTTGTTTTGCCACCGAAGCATATATAGCCAGAGCTGGCTTTCACAGCCGGGCTCGTTTAAAAACTGCTGTGTAAATAAATGCTGGTATTCTGCCTGGCCAGTGACCCCGAGTGTACAGTTACTGCACTGTCACCCGGCAGCGTCCTCAGCGACCTCTTGAATACCTCTGAACACTCTCGGCATTTCGCTCCCCTGCTTTGACCGAGCACCTGAAGCTGCTTACTTAATGCCGACTGAGGGCTCTCCATGTTAAATCATTCTTTAACGCCGTATCAGTCAGCGTGCACCTCTCGAAAGATGAAAATATATGACGTTATTCTCACATTTAAAAATGACAGCTTGCAAATCTGAATGTGTACCTGCTGCCAGGGAAGATGTATTTGCTACCAGTTGTAAAAAGTGTGCGGAGGAAAAACTGTAGAGGAGCTGCATGATACCATCTTAGCCAAGAAACACACCATTAGGTCTGCTGCTGCAGACCTGCCGGCGCGACCCGCATTTACAGTGAGGCGGATCCGCTACCGATCTGCCCCCAAGCAAGAGGAAGCAGGAGTGATCGCTCTTCGTTTTCAGGGAGGATGTGAGTTGTCCAAGGTGATACTTTGAGGCAGAGGATTGTTTGTCATTTAAAAAAAGACTCGTGACAAATTAAAGATGACACTTAGGATAACTACTCAGAGAGAAGCTCCTCACGGCCTGCATCATGGTTTGCGGACCTGGCTTATACTGGTAATGGGATCCAGGTGCAGTGATGGGGGTCAGCTAGCATGTGACAGCAGTGAGTCAGGTCTCTGTGCTAACGACTGTCCCCCCGGTGCACAGAGTTAACAGGGATGTGATCAAACCCCCGTATCCACAGCCTGCTCCGCATGTCTCCTAATGGCAGCGCAGGCCACAGTCACATGAGGAAACGTCTGCCTTCACCTGCACAGATCGGAAGCGAGGCTGGGAGCGGGACCCTATCCATCCATCCATTTTCTGTACCCACTCGCCCTATTCAGGGTCGCATGGGTTCGGAGCCGATCCTATGGTGAGATGTACCTGCTTCAGCTCATCATAGCTACACATGAGCAGTAACCAATCAGGAAATGGAACCATGTGCCATGGATGGGGAGGGGGGAGGGTATGGACAGAGAAATGGTATTAACCAAACAATGAGGAGTAGTTAAGACAATGGATGGGAATTTAAGTGTCTTTACAGGGGAGGCACAGGAGATGGGTTGGAATAGGCCAGTAGAGCTTGGGTGGATGGCTTGGCTTCACAGCTGGTCTGTCACAGGTGGCCTGTACTGCTGCCATGGTGCCAGAAGGCGTCTTAAAATTGCAAATGACTCCTTTAAGGCATGGACGTCCAGGCCTACTGAGAGCATGTCAGGCACGTTCATGGCATGTTTACAGAGTTCAGGACCTTGGACAGCGTCAGATGCACCATGACGGCACTGAGACACGCTTCGCTGAGCTTCCCCACCAGTCATGGTCTCTTCCGGATCATTCCCTGCCCAGTCTGCTTTCTCACACTCCACAGGGCTCAATAAGGTGATACATGTTACCAACACTGTTAGTCATTGTCTACAAACACCTGTTAAGTAGTTAAACACTTTCCCATGTGCATCTTTATCTCGTTAAAGGTGCATGTTAATTCCGATTCTGACTTTTGGCTTACGATGTCCTTGATTGTACAACTGGGACAAAATGCAGCTCAGTCCTCTGAAAATGTGGCCCAAATTTGATAGCACTGAGACAAACACAGGATGCCTTTAATAAGCAATGTGTCACTCATTGTTCGCGATAAATACATTAAAGCTGGGGCCACATCTGGCTGACGCCCTGTAACCTTAACTTAGCTGGATGTCGTTGACTGATGTGTCTGTAAGCTGGCCCTGTGAGAGAGCCACCTCCCCAAACACAGAGGTGCACTGGCATTCCACCATCTGCCAGCTGATGTCTGGGTCAGCGCAGTGCGATCCAGTCCTAATGGCGTGTCTGCCTCAGTCCGTCTCAGTCCGACACGGAACATTAGACAGGCGCAGGAACATCTGTTCTGATGATGGTGGTGGGAGTCGCTCCTGGAAACCGGGTCTTTTAGAACGTCAGTGCTGGTACCAGTGTGAATAAATCGATTAGGCAGTTAGCGAAGCACGCGTGAATCTGCATTTTAGCTGCCGTCATCATCACTGTAGTTTGTGAGATTTTCAGATACACAGCAGAGCCAGGCAGTGGTTCTGTCTTAAGCAAGGCCTGCTACCCACAATGTCCGCAAACATCTCACTTAAAGCTCAACTTTCATATGACACATTTTCCTGGCCCTGAAATATTCAACTCAAGGCTGCTTGTATTATAAATGCAAGATGCATGAAATATATATCTCTCCCCCCATCCCAAACCCAAACGGCATCATTAACCTCAGAGAGTACAGTAAGCTTGCAAATGTGTGGTGTATATTTTTTTCTGGGTCACGGTTTGCCGTATTGGCTTCCATGCAGAATTCCAAAGCAGGAGCCCGAGTGCCCCCCACCCTTCCGTGTTTCCCTGCGAATTACACAAGCCTGCTATGCGCTACATGACAACCCAGTGAGGCAGTCCACGGCCGGTACCATCGCAGGGTCGAGGAACAAGCAAAGAGAAACACTAGCCTGATATCGCTCCATGCTTCATGGATGCTGCCCCTTCTGCTGATATTCACTGGAAGATCAGCGTAAATACGCTTGTGCCCAATAGAGTCCTTGACAGCCATAAGTGTGTAACGTGTTGTTTCACTCATTTGTACGTCACTTTGGAAAGAAAGTTCTGTTAAATAAAGTAAATGTGATGCATGTTATATTTAATTAAAGGAAATAAGCAGAGAGCAAAGCTAGTTGTTGAAATCCGATGTGCTTCGATCTGCGTTTTATTCGTATTGCCCTCAGACCTCCTGCAGCTGTTTATCAGAGATCATTTTCCATCAAGGCTGCCACATTACATGAGCATTTTTTGCAGCATCCACTCATCACAGCATCACGGTACAAGAGTGCTGCACTTCTTTTGCATTGTTTTGGAACCACTTCAAGGTTTTTCTTTAATCACTGTCCTATTTTTCTAAGTTTTTTTTTTTTCCGCAAAACAGGCTCAAAATAATGAGTGTTTTTCTGATAACTGAGTTTTTGTTGCAAGAACAAAGTGATGAATAATTTTGTTTTTCTTTTCTGAAGGAGATAAAAGATTGTGTGTGAAGATCAGAAAAGAGAGGGAAACGTGTGACCCCCCCCCCCCAACTTTCTGTCTGTCTGCTTTCCATGTACCGTTACCAGGCCAGTCAGCCAGGTCGTGACCCAAACAGCAGCCGTTTCTCTCCGCCTTTGCCTGCGGTCCATCCCGCAGATGCTCCTCTCACACACCGGCTTTTGTCCTCACATCAGTTTCACTTTCTCAGTATCGGCGTTTCAGGGTTTTTTCATTTTTGTATTCGACTGCCTGGGGAACATTATCGTATATCGCGGCAAAGTGTTTCCGGACAAATAAACTCGCTCAGGAGAACATCAGAGTGAAAATGACACCAGTCTCCCCCTCCCCCCCCCCCCCCCCCAGCTGTGGCTGGACAGACTCCTCCCCCCCTTTTCCTGTCCCTGTCAGTACCGGGAGACGTGAAGATGGAGGGAATCCCAGAACGACAGAAGCGGTGGATGTCACCATAGGATGAATGCGGCGAGTCCACTGTCATTCAACAGGGGTCACTGACATTAACTATAATCGCAGCATCTATGAGGATAAGAGCTGAACGTCATACTACTGCAGTCTAGATGTAAATATAATTAATGGCAGCCGATTATACGTAGGGGACGTCGCATGTACGGGGTTGTCGCGTGTACGGGGAAGTAGCGCTCGAAATCAGGCACCTCAGCTGGGCCGCCCTGCCAAACATGTTCCACCTCCCTACCTCAGGGTGGGAAATTACACCCCTGTGGCCTCCTGCTGTCTGTGGAGGCGAAGCTGCACCATCGGAGCTGCAAGGGGTTGGGCAGCATTTTAATTCACCAATTATCCATGATCTGATGACACGTGGGACCTGGGTGAACTTCTCAGAACTCCTGCTATTAACTAGCACCAGTAACCAGTTAACCGGTAGGAAAAGTTTCTGTACGATTAAAAAAGGAGCCAAATTCAATGTAATATTTTAACAGACAGGTTAGAATGCACGAGAAATCTGTGCATTGTCAATGATATTTTCGGCAAGATGATTTCTACAAGGCAATTACAGATGTTAAGTCATTCTTCATCCCGTTAGCAGACGTAAGGCAGTCCCAGGCAACCCTTGAGGAAAAAGCGTTTTACAACCAAAGGGGGGAAATATCACACTTTCTAACAGGTGTCTCTACTCTGCTGGATTTATTAAGCAATTAGGTCTGAAAAAACTGAACTAAACCTCTGAATCAAACCACTTAGAGTCGTTTTAGCAGATAGAGTAGTCATTCGTCACACGTCTCTCAGTTCTGTAATAAGATTTGAAGATATGTCTGAGAGAGATTAACAAGGAGACCGAGCAGTCACACTGGCTTTGGGCAAGACAGTGTCAGCACTGAATATTCACAGAGTGAAAGGATTTGATGGACAAATTAAGTACATAATGGAAGAAAATTGAGAAGAACAAGGTCAGGTTTGTTGTTTCTGGGTCCCACTGAAAAAGTCACTTTGGCCTCTTTGTGTCGTGACTGAATGTGGCCAACAGGGGGCTCCCAAAGCTCGGGGGTTCGATGCAAATATGTGATTTGAGTGGTGGTACACACTGCCACTGGGTACGACGTGATCCAAATACCGGTAAAAACTCATTTCCCATAATCCCACAGATTTCCTCCTGCCGCTAAGCATACCTTTGGTTTGTGCCCACAGGGAACGTGTTTGTGGTGAGCCTGGCCTTTGCCGACCTGGTGGTGGCGTTCTACCCCTACCCGCTGGTGCTCTACGCCATCTTCCATGACGGCTGGTCCCTGGGCGACACCCAGTGCAAGGTCAGCGGCTTCCTGATGGGGCTCAGCGTCATCGGCTCCATCTTTAACATCACTGGCATCGCCATCAACCGCTACTGCTACATCTGCCACAGCCTCAAGTATGAGAAGCTCTACAGCTACCGCAACACGCTGCTGCTGGTGACCCTCATCTGGTTGCTCACTGTGGCGGCGATTGTGCCCAACCTATTTGTGGGCTCCCTGCAGTACGACCCGCGCATTTATTCCTGTACCTTCGCCCAGACCGTCAGCAGCTCATACACCATCGCTGTAGTGGTCGTCCACTTCCTGGTGCCCATCACCGTGGTGATCTTCTGCTATCTGCGCATCTGGATCCTGGTGATCCAGGTGCGGCGGAAGGTGAAGAGTGAGGTGCGGCAGCGCCTCAAGCCCAGCGACCTGAGGAACTTCATCACCATGTTCGTGGTGTTCGTCCTCTTCGCCATCTGCTGGGGGCCACTCAACTTCATCGGCCTGGCCGTGGCCATCGACCCCCAGACGATGGCACCCCGAGTCCCGGAGTGGCTCTTTGTGGTCAGCTACTTCATGGCCTATTTTAACAGCTGCCTTAATGCTATCATCTACGGACTGTTGAACCAGAACTTCCGGAAGGAATACAAACGGATAATCATGTCCGTGTGCATGCCCGGGCTCTTCTTCCAGGAGACCTCCCGGGGGGGGACAGAGGGCATGAAAAGTCGGCCCTCCCCAGGACTCAACAACAATGAGCAGGTGAAAGGAGAAACCCCATGACGCATTTTCTCTTCCTGCCTGTTGTCCCTATTATCGCTATGGACTCCACCAAATGTGTGAAGATTGTGTTGGGAAAAGGGGCTCAGTCACTTGTCTTCTGGGAATCAGGGACTCTACCAACTGTGTGAAGAGGTGGGTGGAACTAACCCCATCCATCCATCTATTATCTGCCGCTTATCTGGGGTTGGGTTGTGGGGGCAGCGATTTAAGCGGGGATCCCCAGACCTCCCTTTTACCATCCACCTCCTCCAGCTCCAGAAATACCAAGGCGTTCCCTTGTTAGCCAAGAGACATAATCTCTCCAGTGTGTCCTGGGTCTGCCCCGGGGCCCCCTCCCAGTGGGACATGCCCGAAACACCTCCCCAGGGAGCCGTCCAGGAGGCATCCCGAATACATGCCGAGGCCACCTCAACTGGCTCCTTTCGAGAATTAACTGTGTTTTTGAAATATCTGAGTGCCATTACCAAACCATACAATCAGAATTATGTATCATATCTTTATTACACCTCAGGTCACTTGCATTTTCTGCTGCTATAGCAATATGCATTTCAAAGTCAAAACACCAAAACTTTATTAATTTTTCTACATTGGTACATTGAAAAGGGATATATTTAAAGATATTAGGTATAGTATTATGATTTTCTCTGTAAAAATTTTAGCGTTTGTTCCACTGTGGTTTGTCTCTGTAGGTTCGTAACCTGAAATTTTATTTTACCTCATAATTGAAATGCTTGGTGTTTGTATAGACTTTGTGTTTTTGTCTCTCACTTTTGGGTGTTGTATTGAAGGTGACGTTTGCTCTTTGGACCTCATTGTTCTCTCACGTAGCACCAAGCGTCTTCTACTGACACGTCCATTCGGTTATGACCAACGGGAGGCGACGGTCTCTCTCTAGTAATCCAAAAAGTGAGAAATCTGCCAAAAAGACTGGTAACCTTTACTAAAACCAGCACTTTTGTCTGGAGTGAATTTTTTGGGGACTGCAAAAGGTGAAAACAAACAATCAAAAAACAAAATGCAAAAATAAACAGACTGTAATAAAATGGCACCATGTGTGTTTTTTCAAAAAGGGGGGAATTTGTTCCTCATTGGCTGGAAAAGCCCTAATGAATGCTGCTCTGATGGTGTCCCCGGGGAGGGGGGGCGTTGTCCTGTGATGATTTTTACAATTAAGTTATTCCTTTGATTCTCTCTATGCATCGTATACTTCATATTAGAAGCATAAATTCAAAGGAAGAGACATTTTTTTGTATTGAATATGCAGAATTAAAAAGACGATTGATTTTTTTCAGGTTCAGCCTTGACATTATTCAATTATTTTTAAACGTGGAAGTTAATTAATTGCAAATCCCAAATGTGTGATCTTTCTAATGAGGTGTGATATGCATGACCTGTGTAGTTTCTTTTCATGTTTGTACACTCACTCCCAAAAGAACCGGCCAATATAACGAACAAAACAAAAAAAGGGGTGTTTTCTAAACAAAGGCAACCCTTTTTTCTCCTTTTGTGTGCATGTATATAAAAGGAAGACACACAAAATAAAAAGAAAGACAAGACTGGGCATTTAGAATGTAATGAGCAACTTCTAACACTGGTATTTTTGCATTGCTGTGATTTTGAGCAAGCTGCTGGTGTAAACATTTTCAATGTTAATAAAACGTATTTTTAAAGTTTTCTATAGTTTTTTTTTTTTTACAACGTAACTCAAATCACGACTGATAAATCTCATAAATCTTCATGGTGGATAATCCAGTGTATGAATAGAGCTTTGCCATTTGGGGAAAGGCTTTTCCAACATGCCAGTTTCTTAGCTGGTGGAGGTCTCTGGACTCTTTTTAAAAACTAAATAAACAACTTAAAATGCAATGCTTTGTTAGTTCTTCTTACTTTTCTTTAACGTGCTTGAAATGCACCATTTCTGTGGCTTTTTCTGTGGGGCAGTTAGATAAATGTTGCACCGCTGCTGTACTAAGGTGAACTGGTGACCAGTGAGATGGACAGGCCTGGATGATGGGCTCTCGGGAAAATCAAGTAATTAATTAATCAACAGGTTCATTGAAAGGAGTGTCTAACGAGCTCATGGACTCACCTATGCTGTTGTGTTGTGTTGTGGTGGGGGGGGGCAGTCTGTATGTTCAATGGCCCCTAAATGAGGTTAGAGAACCTGGTCCATTTCCCTCCAAATGGCTGGTAAATATCTCAGGCTGTAAAGTAAGAGAAAACCGGAGAAAACACTAGTAATCAGGATAGAAAGCTTGTCAGAAGCCTACCCAGTTGAAAGCACTTTTCCCTAGAGTTAGAAGGTGGACCGTTGCCATGACAGCAAGCCCAGTCCTCTAATATACCTGCCGGGGAATGGCCAAAGGTTCTGACTGAGAATCATATAGTTTTGAAAATGAACATCCTGGTTTTCTCCACTGTGATTCATTTTCACTGTCCTCTGACAGATGGCACTCTATAGGGCCATCAGTGTGATTTATGGGTGCTTTTCATTTATGGTGCAAATTAATTCAAACTAAATAAATTGAAGAATCAATGAAGCACATTTCCTTTGCTGTGGTCTGCCGACGTTGTGATCATTTTCACGCCAATAGGATGTGAGGTGTAGAAAAGAGGCTGGAGGTCAGTTAGGGTAGGAAAGGAGTCGGGGGGCGAGGG